CTTGTAGTAGAAAAGTTTTACAGATGTTTCAGGGGGATAGAAGAGGTTGTTGTACACAAAGTAATGGGCAGAGGGACATAGCTGCCTAAGGTACAAAAGTATACAAAGTAGTGAGGAGCCATGGCTACTGTGTTGGCTTAGACTGATAAAGCACAGTTGTCTCAGAAGATTTATTTTTTCTCAAAAAAAGTTCTATTTTTGTTCAGATTAGATCATATGCCCCTCATTGAGAAAGAACAGAAAAGGCAGTAATTTCCTCCTAAAAGAACTAGTTTCCACATTAGAGATTACTTTCCCTCTTTTGCACGCAGTCCTTAAGCTGTTTCCTGGAATTCCTGCAACTGGGAAAATTGCATATTAGATGCAGATAACTCATGTGACTTTTGAGACTCTGTATAATCTTAAAAAGGTGTCTCAGATAGAAGTAAGAGACATTTATAATTTAACTAAATAATCTCCTGTGATCAGTAGACAACTTTTGAATGGTTATAATTGTCAAATATGCCAAATCACTCCTTGAAGCTGTATGATCTAACTTAAACACCAGTCATTTTGACTTAAAAAAAAAAATCCTTTAAGTTACCAGAAGTTTTGCCTATTTGAATATTTTAACATGAAAATAAACAAACCATCAAGCACCCCCTTCCCAAACAGCAGCCTTTCATCTGACTCTTCTAAAAGTCATGAGTAAAGAATAGGAAACAACAGTCCTGGATCATACTGCACAATATTCAAGAGTGATCTTATAATGTTTCTCCATCCCTCAAATACCGATTCCCCCCAATTCCAAATGGCCTTTTAATTTTTTCTGTTTCTCTCATTTGTCCATTTCTCCAYCAGTCAATAAACAGACTTCTCTTCCCATCCAACCATTTCCATTTCAGTTCCCTTTCCTGACAGCTCCCCTTCTGCCTGCATGTGTCTTTCTATGTTCCTTTTCTCATCTCCTCTTGGTTTTTTTACCCTCTTTGTCTCATCTTCCCCCAGATCATACCTCTTTTCCTCCTGTATGTTTTCAATGCCAATGGCACTACTCCGTCGCCCATGGAAGCGGCTGGCTCGAGTACGTGATGGGCTCCTACCAGGCAAGGCAAAAGACTAGAAAAAAGGAAAGCGTGACAGAAAGGAGAGGCACAAGACAGGAAAAACTGTGGAGAACTGAAAGCATAGAGGTGTTTGTGACATGGATCCAGATCCTCTCTTTTACTCTGCAATACAAGAGCTCAGCTCCACCTGTGCAAGGAGTCAGCGAGCAAGAACAGCCAGGGCTTACAAAGGTGGTGTGAGAAAGGGACAGAGATATAAAGAAACAAAGGCAGAACACAGCCAGTATACAGAAAAATGTGCTTGGGAAGGGAGGTATCCCCATATGGTGAGAGGAGAGGCAGAATCAGAAAGGCAAAGAAAACTAGCAGTTAAAGGAGCACAGGAGGCAGCAAACCCAAGTCATTAGTATGCTATGACTTTGTTGTATTGACATAAAGAATGCATACAACCAAGTAAACTGTCACCAAGAAATCTTCACACTGAAGGGCACCTTCTTGGCTTACTTAGAGATGGKTTTTTTGTAGTTTGCCTGTATTGACATCACTAGTGCAGAGACCACACCCAGCTGGATGCACTTAGGCCAAGGTGACCATATTTTCAGTAACAGAAACATGGATCCTTTTCTGGAAAGATTTGTCATAGATTTGTAATTCATTGGTCACCTATGTTTAGTATCCCTATCAAACAAGAATAGAAATATTAATTCTTTTTCTCACCCCAAACTTTATAATTCTGCTGTTTGTTCCCAACACACAAATACTATTTACAGCAAAACAGCACCTTGAAGAGATCTTGTGCACCTGTTTATATTACGGAAAATAATCTGATCAGTAAAACTGAAGACAATGAAACAGTTCTAGCATCCTTATGTTCTCAGCTCTTGCCATATGACAATACAGTACCATTGCAGCCAAACCACAGTGCATGCATTTTTTAACATAAGGCACCATACAGGATCTAATCCAGGATAGCAGAGATAGATGTCTGATGTAGGATCGTGTTTGGCTTTCTCCTCCCCGTCTGCATCAACCTCAGCTCTAGTTTACACATGAACTGGGGCTAGAGATGGGCACAGACAAAACAGACTGCAACACATGCTGTCACCACTTGTGACATGGGATGATACCACAAAAAGATTCACAGCAGGACAAGAGGACAAACTAATAGGGAAAGAGAAGTAAATGCATGAGTGGTTACAAAGGTATGCCGGGTTCTCTTCTTACAGCCCACCCGAATACCTTACCGCAGCAATGGCCTTAGGGCCCTCGGCGACACTCTGGCTGAGGGCAAGGCCAGCTGTAGCTGGGCGGCTGGGCAGGGTGGCTGGCTGCTGCTTTCTCATGGATATCCCCATGGTATCCAGGCTCTGGCTGCGGCCTCTGATCACCCGCTGAACAGAAGGGAGGCAGGGAAACAGACAAACACAGATATACACATATAGACATGCACACGGTAGGGTAGTATGAGAAGCACCACAGATTGAGTGGGAAGTTGTGACAGACTGACACCAGAACCACACAGATGCTAACTCCTAGAAGGCAGCACCTTAGACACTGTCCTTCTTTGGTCCTAGCTGATTCATGGAGGTCTGGGAAGAGCTCTTCCTCAGGTGTATTTTCTAATTTCACCCCCCTTGTCATTTTGCAATGAATAGAGATTTCCTACCAATAGCCCAGCACACTGGATAAAACAGCATCACCTGGAGCAATCCTATCCAGTACAGACTATAAACCACAAAATCAAACTCCTGTTCAAGGCTGTGAGGTTCAGTCTTGAATGAATTTGAGGTCTAGTTATAAGGGGAAAGCAGCCATATCAAAATCCAGAGCATGTGAAAAAGCCGTTTTCTGACTTAGTCTTTTAAAGACTTTTACAAAGGTCATGTGTGTACATGACATGCAAATCACAGCATCTGCTAGAAGCCAGAAAAGGACATTTTGGGAGAATTAGTGTAAGATACGGATGGGTTAAAATTCACGGTTAGCAGCAAAGGCAGTTTATATGTAAAAATACACCTCACCAAAGCATCCCAGATTTGACCAAAGCTACAAACACAACYACCAAACCTGTATGTGAACAGGTTAGTTTTACTGACCTTAATAACTAACTCACCATTGAAAACAGGTGGAGGTCATCTGAAAAAATGCTGTTTTTAACATGTCTCTCTTTCCAGACAGACACTTCCCACAGAAGTGGGAAAGGGCCAATAGATAGGAAAGCGATCTAAAATTCTCTCTACATAACCAGTTCAAAACTCAGTTTGCCCATTCATATAAAAACTTTGCTTTCTCGTATCAATCATCTTGATCACTTTAAAAGGAAGTTCTGTCACCTGGTCTATGGAAAAAAGAACCAACAAAAAAAACAACCCAAGAACATGCCATTTACACTGAAAAAGCTAAGTTAACTCTGGTTTTTAGAGGGTAAGTAAAGCATCACAGTTTTTCTAGACAGTACACTCAGATAGGTTAGAAACATTTGCAGTGACTCCTGCAATTCTTTCAGTTATAATGAAAATTATTTGAAAGATTTCTGATGCACGAACTGAAAGCTCCTTGCTCTTAGTTATTACCATGTCTCTTGCAAACACTGGCTCCTTTTTCTTTAAGTCATGGAATAACACCACATCTGAAACTTGACACCAGCATGAAGCAGAAAGAGTTTGACTTCTAAGGGCCAGCATGGAATTATGGACCACACTGTAGAAAGCCTCACCTTGAAATTTTCGAGAAAGCCCCCACTGCCATTCTCTATCTTGTCATCCTCCCCTACAGGTAATCCCATCATGCTGCGGCTGCGAAGCTGCAGCTCCTCAAAAAGGCTCTCCAAGAGGGCACTCCGTGTTCTTTCCTGCATCAATATTGGGAATGAGAAGAGCTTGCATTGGGAGCAAAGAGATTTTTTTCCTTGTTTTTTTCAATTTCTCTTCTTGAAAAAAAAACCCAACAAACAAAAAACCCCAAAAGACCAACAATGACAACAACAAAAACCCGTGAAAATTACTTTAAACAGTTTGAAGTGGTTTTAACTGCATGGTCACAGAATATATTGCAGTAATAACCAGCCCTGTTAAACTCTTTCTAAAGCAAGTCATAAAGGACAATTTTTTACAGCTGATGAAAGAGACATTTTTTTCTGTATCAGGCAACAGCAGAGTCTGCAACAGAATTTTGGTACCTTGAACCAAAAATCAGTGATATAGCATGCATCCTACGGTGTAATATTGAGTTTCAGCTAAGAATTTCCTCCAGAAAAATACATGCATCATATTCTTATCATGACTTGAGTATTAGATCTTTATATTAAAACGTTCATATTCTATCACAACTGCTAAGAAATATGAAGGAAGTATCCCATAAATGTTATAATCACATTTCATCTTCCTTTCTTAAGCAACACAAAATCAGAAGTCAGAAATTTTACTGTATTTTCTTTATCTGATAGTAATATAGTTATTACATATATCTTTTTTTTTTTTTTTAATGGAAGCAGCCAGGTAATAGACCCACCTCTAATTTAGCAAACTTCTCAGCTCGATAGCAGCTATACTCAGCATTGATGAGTTTGACCAGAAGGAATTCACGAAACTCTGCACTCTACAAGACAAGGTGAAGACTACACTAAATGGGAGATAAAAGCACTAGTAAAAATATCACATGATAAAAGCTCTGCTTACTACCCCTTGGACCTCCAGAGTCCTCTAACCAGACTGACAATACTGACTCAGAACCCAAGTTTGTGCACCATTTCCCCTGACATCTAACACTGGACCAGAGAAACAAACCTTTTTAAATATGGCTGGATTTGGCAGAGGAGGTCCAAAGAAGGGGACATCGTCGCGGGCTGTGACTGAAACCTGAAATTATAAAAGGGAAAAAAAATTAGTATTATAACATAAGGGAGACCAACAAACTCCTATGATAGACCTGATTCCTCCTAAAAAATTAACATCTACAAAAGAGATGTAATATAGTGTCCCCTGCATCCCTCTGTTCCTGAACTCAGTGGATAGATGTGTTATCTCCCATAAATTTAGTCAGCTAGATGTGCACATGGTTAAGAACAATACAAAAAATTGAACTGTGTTTACAAACAGTATTTTTAATAATAGCCAAGAAAATCAGTGAATTTAGAAAAAAAAAAGTGCCTATTCAGCCTGCTAGATTAACCTCCACTAGAAGAACATCTGGCAATGTATTGTACTGACCCATTTTTTTATACAGAGAATCCTTGGTGGAGATCCTCCCCTCAGTGTGCAGCATACTCCACTGCCACTGCCTCTCTGAGTCACAGGTGGTAAACATGCAAAATCACTTTCTCAGTAAGAAAGAGGTTTCATTTGTTTAATTTTAGCATGCTCCTACCTGCAATATCAATTTCACAAAAAGTAACTGTAAAGCAGTCTAGTTTTTACATAGTCACTTGTTTCCTCACAGCACTTACCTGCAATTATATGCACCTATCTTACCAAATAGATCCAGTAGTTCACAATATTTCAGTAATGTTTTTGTCATGTTTGAGATGAAACAAGCCCATTATTTGCCATTTCATACAAGAGGGAACATAACAATCACAACTGCCTCAAAGTAACAACAAATAAATGTCACAGACCCACTGAGGGACATGAGTTTAATGAGAGAAGGAAATTTTTTACTTTGTAGGCTAGCTCCCCTATTTATAAAGCCTCCATCTCTCTCCCAATAGATATCTACCAGTTAAAATCCTGCTTCATGTTTTCAATCCTCTGATTGCAAAAACTGATTCCGTGAAATAAATTCCGGTAATACCCCAATTTAACAGCAGACATTAAAGCTTAAGTAAATGGACCAAGGGATGGGAAGGAAATCTTCCAAACTGCATACTTTTATGTACAACAATTCTCTCAAAGCAGCATCAGTTAAAGCCCCTTTAGAAAAGCCTTCACAAAAACTCTGCATTGCCTCTAGAGTGTTGACTGGAATTATTTCTTCTTCATGGAATGAAGCAGCACTATTACGCTAACAAAAATATGGTACTGCAGACAGGTAAAGCTGAAAACAATGGCAGGAAGCTTTCCCAGCCCTTTTCCTTGTCATTAAATGGTCCAGTGAATATTTAAGCCTAATAAAACAGAGGGCAAGAAGAAAAATGGAACCCCATGCCCGGATCAACACAAGGCTTTCACTACAAACCAGCTGCCCAAAGCATAGGGAACAATGGCAGGTGGTTGCTTCACCACCAACACCCTCTGGGGAAGAGGAGATGGGGATCATGTCCCAATTTTGATATTCTTGGTGCTCCTGTAGACCACCAAGGCATAAGGACTCATTATCACTCAAACAAAATCCCTACATAATATAACATATAGCAGTTGGATTAAAATGTTTCTACAATGGAAAATGCATCACAAATGCGAGTTTCATAATGTTTTCTGCTCTCTCAGCATGATTGAAAATTGAATACAAATACAGTTATATAGACATCCATACAGAGTCATGTCAGAGAGAGAGAGAGAGAGAAAGAGCTGCATCAGAAGGCTTCAGATATGGAATCTGACCTCTAGTAGGGCTTCCTTCAAATAGAGGGCCCTAACAGGTAGCACTCCCCTGACAGATGGACATCAGTTCTGGTATCCCCAAAAGCAGGTGTAGCTGGTTTGGATTCCACAGGTTAGGCCAACCTGCTGCATCTGACCTGTAGCCTAAGGCAGCACAAGCTGCAAGCACTGTGCTGTGCAGAATGCACTGTGAGCAACGCAAACATGAATTTTACCTGACTTACACAATGTAAGCAAGACAACTCCCAAAGTGGGATCAATTGTGCCTTGTGCTCTTCAACATAAACAATTTTTTTTTATCTGAATTCTTTCCACTTCAATTCCAAAGCTTTAAGCTACAGAAATTCATCAGCTACTTTGAAAAGCATACAGCTATACTCTTTCAAGTGTAAGATACTCAAGAAGTGAGGATGACATCTGGCTGAACCTGCACCTCTCCCAAAGGCCCGAGAACCAGTTTCCACTTCAAGAATCAAAATCAGTATAGGTTAATCTATTGATCCTGGTTACCTTGTAGAGAGTGTCCCCAGAGGCGCTATGAGTGAGCTGAACTACCACATAAGCATGTAGGAAATTCGAAGCAATCATATCAGGGACAAAGGGTGTGCTTTCATCCTGGAAAATGATGGCTACAATGTCATTCCCAATGTGACGCTTCCGCTGAAGCTGGAGAGGAAAGAAATAATGAAGAGAGAAGGCAGGTGAAAAAGAGCAGAATGTATTATGGTACCTCAAACACCAGTCTGCCTAACATCTCTAACCCACTTGTGCAACCAAATCCCTCATCAGTACTTTTGCCATTACTCCAGCCGTAATTCCCAACGTTGTACAGTTAGTCATTCTCCCCTCTCTGCTGTCCTTCTTCAAACACCCTTCCTCTCCCAGCCACACTGTTGTAATCCTCACTCCTTCTTCTGATACCTGCTGGGAATCTCCCTCTGTGAAGGGCAGCTTTGTGGACACATGAAACATGATCTCCTTCCCCCGGAAATTTGTGTAGACTGACTCGGTGCCTGTTTGACCTCTGGTAACATCCAATCCTCCCCGGAACCTGAGCAAATCCACGCCACGCCATAGGTCAGGCAGAACAGAAATGAGAAAGCAGAGAGAAGACAGACAGTATCAGTAACAGCAGTACATCAAGACTATCAAAGACATTTTTTAGGAAATCAGTGATAGTGAAGCACTAAATCTTCCCCAAACCAATGCACTGACTGCAGCTGCACCTTGTTTGTGCTGGCGAACATATTTGCCAAAAGCTATGAAGCTAAACCAGGGATCCTCAAAGTAGCTACCTTCTTTGGCATTCTTCTGAGAAACACACTCCATTTTTCAGAATGATGGAAGGGATGGGCAGCCCCACAGAAAGAGTCTGAAATAATACTGCCTCGTACCACTGTGAAACAAACTTGTATTTGCACTGCCAAATACAATCATTCTTTGCTGACACTGTGGGTCAGATCGCGATACCAGCAGATTTTTATATCAAAATACCAGCAGAGATCTAAGCTCCAACTAGTCCCCCAGACATGATGGCTGACAAAAGCATCCTGGGCTTCCTCACCCTCACTGGGATTCAGAGGACACAGCACTTTTCTGGAAGCTGGGCTCTAACAGAGTGACAGCCTCTGAACACACAATGTTCCCTAASTTAATCTGGCTTTCCAGCTGTGCTGGCTACGCACCCACGAAAATCCTGCAGTTGAATCTTGTCACCGAGGAAATCCAGGAACTCCAGGAAACCCTGACTCTCTACTGTGTTACTGAAGACTTCTTCTTCAGTTGTCTACAAAAGGAAAGCAGATGTAGTAAGAAGCACAAAGAGTACAAAGAACAGGCAGTAATTTCTATAGACAGTTCAACTAACAAACATCTCTGCTTGAATATATTTCTGACCTGGGCCACTCATGGTGCTGGGGTCTTCTGCCTCAGCCCCAAGGTTGCCATTAGGGTTAGAGTTAGGGTTCACAGATACACAAAGCCTACAGCTCCAGGGACAGTGGAGGTGGAAGAGGAATGCCAAGGAAAGCACAGCACTGGACCATCACCACTGCCTCTACAACCTTCAACTGGCGCACTTACGGTGCTGGGGGCTTCCACCTCAGCCCCAAACTGCCATTAGGGTTAGAGTTAGGGTTTAGAGGTCCACAAAGCCTATACTGCCAGAGATATTGTGAGTGGAAGAGGCATGCCATGGGAACCATGGCACTGCACAAAGACTGCTACCTCCATGCCATTGCTTTTGGATATTGCAGATCTTGTTATTACATACTTTAGGCTAAGAAAACTCTGCATTTTGCCTTAAGCACCATGGGATCTGATGGAGCTTACCTGCCCAGGTTTCTGGTAGATGACACCAAATTTGAAGTTATTGCTTATGACATGTTCATCAAATGCAACAATAAGCTGCGAAGCCTGAGGTAATGAAGACAGAAATTATCAATTGGACGTCATTAGCAAGAACTTGATGGAAAAGTGATATACAGACATATCAGGAGACTGTACCTTGGGATAGAGAACAGGAAAGAAGCGTTCAACATTCACATCCTCACACAGTAGCTGTTGAGTGAGAGAGAYAGGGAAACAGAAGTGTGATTATCATGTGTCCTGGCTTGCTGCAGGCATGAGAGTGTAGGCACTGTTTATAATTATCTGATACGAGCCCCTTCGGGCAAGAATTCTGAGGTAAAATTAGAAGAGAAAGAAGAAAAGATAAATAGAAGGGTAAAACGGAACTATATGACAGTTCTACTGGGGAGTAACTGAAAAATAGCAAAATGGGAGAACAGAGGTGAAAATAACTTGAAGAATGAGGCCTTAAGATAAACAGGCAAGCACAAATCTCACCTTTGCCATCTGAACAGCATTGGGAAACTCATTCAGACAGGAAATGGGAATTAGATCATGTTTGGTGCCAGTACGAGTCCTGACACAAAAATAAAAAGGCATTAGAGACATGGCTGAAGGACAACACAAGCAACACCTACTCTCTAAAGAAAGAGCTGCCATTTCTTCAGAGCATCCTTAAAGCAGTTAATTCCAGAGGGTTAATTTTAACCCTGGTGCATAAAATCACTGGAAAAGTGAGGTATTTTCACTTCTTACTGTCCAGCACTTCTTGTGGTCAGCAGAGGAGGACAAAACGGGACCCCTTTGCATTCTTGTCTACCTTGAAATATTTTACTTTCTTCCACACATCATTTTCTCTAACAGAAATCTAAATGTCAAAATACAATTAATGGACACAGAACAATACAGGATTCCCATGATCAAAGAGGGCTTCGAAGACTGTTAAAAAGGTCTGATAGAAACAACCTAGGAAAGAAGATCTCTGCAAAGAAGGTAGAAACTGGTGTAGCATTGTTCCAGAAAGCTGACAGAAGAAAGCTGCCTTTTTGTATGTGTATTTAAGGAGAGATATCTTTTTAAGGAAGAAGAAATATTGGGCTGTCAAAAGCCTCTTCTAACCATTATAAACAAGCTATTGAGCAAAAAGTACTGCACACAATAAAGTATCTTAACAGAGGAATAACTACCCTTTTGCTCTTCCCTGGTCTCTTACACACAGGAAGATAAACATTCCCGGGCATGGCTCACGAACAGGCTCTCTATTCCCACATTATTGCTGGCAGTCTGAAGCATTCTCTTCACACATTGCAGGAAACCCACCAGTGATTCTCCTGTAGTTAACTCCTATACAACCAGCATTTTCCCTCGGTCCTGGACAAAACCTTGTCAGCAGCAACTGTACATCACTTGGTTCCAGTAGCATACTGTCTACTGGGAGTACACCCAGACCACAGTGTGGTAAAAAGTTTCTCTGTAGCAAGCCTCTCACCTATGCAAGATCCAACTCTGTTCTTCCTCTAGTTCATTCAGCAGCTCCCCCTAGGTAATGTCTCTCTTCATAATCCTCTGTAAGAGTTATGGCTTCATAATCTGCCCTGGGCATCTAGGGACTGTTCTAGCTCACCTTCAAGGGAGCCTGTGTCATAAGTACAAAATCTAGGCTAGACTGTCCTCCATTAGGGAATTTATATTCTAGAGATTGCTCACATATCTCCAAGTAAACAGATTAAACAGAAAAGCTTTCTATTTGAGGGAAGAAAGATATTTTTCACACAGGTACTACAAAGATACACCACATCAGCTTCCTGAAGGAAATTGCTGAGAGAATTCCAGAGCAGAAGGCAGGAAAAAAAAAATCTCAAAGGTTTCTTTCCAGTTTCTTTTCTCTCCAGAAGAAAGACATGAAATTCACACCCACATCTATGCAGAGCAAGCACAAGGTAAGACACAAAACACAGCACAGTAACACACTTCAGTTACAGGCACTGTTACCTMAGCAATAGGCGTAAATTTTCCTGTTTCTCGATCTGTTCATACTTCACAGAAAGTACTAGGTAGCCCAAAGACATGTCACTGGAGTAAAAGTTCTGGTGCTCCTGCAAACAGAAAACCAAAATGCATTATTCCCAACACACTTTCTGAAGAAGTATGCCAGGTTGTTTTTTGGGTTTTTTTTGCACACAACCTGTCACTCAAGATAAGCTGATTTTTAATTAAACTAGTAAGAGCAGGCTTAAAGATGCGCATCTGTTGTTGCCACCTGACCACCAGTGCATGAGCACATCAGTCGAAGTGCATCCAGCTCAGTTCCTCCTCACCTGCCCAGCAGCAGAGGGGCTCCTGAGAAGGAGCAGTGTTAGAACATTCAGCAACACATTTCAAAGAAATTGAGTTTCTTGTATCTTTTGAGGACTTTCCCTGTATCCATTCAGAGTCTGCATGACTAAGCAGCGTCTTCCACACATTCAGCTGGAATGTGGTTGTGGGAATTTTCTATCTAAAGAGTAATGGCAGGATCATACAGCAAATGGCTGACCTCCAAGAGTGCTCACATCTCAGGAAGGATATAGTCAGATAGTAGAGTTTTTTCAGATTAAGACTGTTCTCAGCAGTGCCACTAACACTGCCTGAGCTTTAGTGAAGCGTGCCTGGAACAGTCATTCAGTCCAACAATCAAACATACTGCAAACATTCTTACAGTCTCTATAGTAAGTGGCTGTGGCCATACATTTCTCCTGGGTATACAGCCATATTCAAATGGCCTGGGTACAGCAATGTAAATTTTGTATATTGCTATATCATATATATTGCTATATAAACTCAAATCTCAAAAGGTTAAAGTCTTTTAATATAGGATGTGAATGGAAACCTCCAGCACAATAAAAACACTATTTAGGTGGAATCATGCAGAAATGCCTTGATTGCTCCCACCATCCTAGTCGAAAAGCAACCTCATGCATGACAGAGAAGTGGGACAGTAAGTTGTATTCAGTTGTACAGTCAAAACCTGCACAAATTGGAACATCTTCTGTGAAAGGAATACTCCAGGCACAACAAAATAGCAAAGAGGTCAGTAGGAGCAAAGTGTAATTTGATCAAAAAATTGTTGCTAATCTGGCAGTTCCTTCCTCAGTCTTTTGCCAAGAATACATAGAATAGATATATGTACATATATATATATACATATATACATATATTTGCCTAGAAAGTCTGCACTGGCTCTGGTGGATTGCAACCCCTCTCAACACACTGCTAAGATTTTCTTTTGCTGTCTAAATTTTTTGTATTAGTCATAGTTCTGACTCACTATGAAGTGAGTGAAATAAAGATACATCTAGCGAAATACTCTGACATCTATGTGGAGACAGCCAACTTGAAATTAAAGACATAAACCAATCCTCTCTTTGAAACAAAAAAAAAAAGAAAAACTAAGACTACAGTCACTACCATGAACCAAAATATGAAGATGTAGCTAACTTTTTAAGTATTAAAGATGCCATTGTCCTCACTTCCTGTTTGAGACGGGAAAAAAACCCAACATTCAAAACTGCCCTGCTCCTAACTTATGGGAAACAGGACAGTCTGAAAAAAGGAAGGTCTAAAGAGCAGCCAAGAGGCAAACTGAATAGTATGGCCTCTAGCTGCTTCAAATCACAGAAGTCTAATGTGATTTGTCACACTGGTCAGTGATTGTATATGGGAAGAAAAGTTGAAATCAACAGGGGCCATAAAGGACAATTTCTCCTGACCATGACTTTCGGGAAACTAGTAGATTTTTGGGATGTGAACAAGAATCAGATGCAGAAGTCACTGTGACCAAGGGCAGACAGAGCACTGAGGAACAGACAGATTCAAGGAACAAAACAAGACCATGTTTGATGGCCAGTTGAAGTCTAGAATTGAAATCCATAAACTAAAGAAGTCAAATACCAGGCTCGCTGCTCAATATAGACTAAGATAAAAGGAAAAAGATGGCACAATGCCAACAAAGATCAGAACTAGAAGGCGAAGCAAAGAAGAGCCAAAGCTTGAGGTCAGCTGCAGCCAAAAGTAACACTGAGTTGTAAAGACCAGAAATCAAGWTGCCTTTTAATGAGAGTCTTAAGCCAGGTGCCAGCAGATTTGACATAGGAGGATCTCACTTGCTTTGGACAGTGGGCTGTCAGCTCTGCAGCTGACATTGCCAGGCAGAGCTGCACAAATGGGTGTAATCCTCACAGGCAAACAGGCACCAGAACTAGTGGAGGTCTTAAAATAGCTGAATTTTTGTCAAAGTTGCTCTGGCTATGTAGTTTGATACTGAATGTAAGGTGGGGGTTTAAACTGAGATCTGAGCATCATATGTATGAATAAACCTATAATTTACTCCTTATATTTTCCTTCTCTGTAAAAGCATAGGCAACAGAAGGCAGCCTCTGATCCTTCAACGGACAACAGCCTTTATTGTTAGTTATCCTAAAGTTAGAGATGAACCATCAAAAGGCTTTACAGCTCATACTGAAGACTGCAAGTCAGTGCTGACAAGATACCCTGGAGCTGAGAGGACTTATGTGTACATAAATTTGTTCAGCCACAGAAGTAATTTCTGTAACATATAATACGGTCTGAAAGGAAATTCTGGATTTCAAAAAGATCTCTGTAAAAACAATTAAGTATCTTCCATGGGCGAAGGGAAAAGACTAACAGAACACACAAGGAATGCTGACAGTTCGCCTGAGACGTTAAAAACTGCTAAGACATCTGCCATCTGCAGCAGCTTTAACCAGCACAAAGAAAGGACAGCATAAAGGAGAAATACATGATCACATATGAATGCATAGCAAGAAAGCTTCTCTCATCAGCAGTGAGAGCTTCAAGCGCTTGTGAAACTGCACCCTAAGTTTATTTGACTGGTAGTTCCAATGTTTACTTTTATTAAATCCTTCCTGGCTTCAGGCTACTTCCCTTTATTACAGCCTTCAAAAACAATGTAGACATTGAATAATTCCCACAGTATAAGACATAAGGTTTTACAGCCTTCTTCCTAGAGACTAAATAAATCTTACTGTGTAATCGTCATATAAAATACAGACCATGGGGTAAAAAAAACAACTGAGCTAGGGCTTGAGTGTCCTAGCACCTTTTTTCGTGGTTGTTTTACAGGGTCTGCTGTAAGATGTTCTGCAAAAAGTACCAAAGAATGGTCTGAGTTTGAGCCATCTATATATGCACACCCAAAACACAGACATGAATATTAAGTTTGTAGTACCACAAAAAGTACCACTTTGATCTCCCATCTTGCTTAAAGGATATTCCCCAAACTATCGGCTATGCTTCTCCTACCACATGATGCTTTCAGATTCTTCTTCAGCTAAGAACTGTCTGCCATTATTCAAAGCATGAGAGAAATTTTTCCTGACATTGCTGCAATAACCTTTCATGTCATCAGCAAGAAAAGGACCCAACACACACAGCATCACTGGTATCACTAACATTGCACTGAAGCAATACTCTTATGGCGGAAAAGCTCTGAGCTCTCTCCTTAACTAAGCTTTTAAACCATAGGCCAAGTTTTCCAGCCATGAGCAAAGTTTTCTGTGACAAGAGTCTTGTTCCCCTTGTGCTTTTCTGACACTGGCTTCTTCAAAAACTTCCATGTTTAATTGAACATGGACACACATTCATGTCAGTTAACGCAAAGAATAAAATGCTGGACACCCAAAAGGAAGAATATAGGAGAGAGTTTTTCTGTAGTACTGAGGCACTGATGGTTGGGCACTTTGCAAACGTGAAGTCCAATGATAGAGGAAGCCCTGGATCTCACTTGGAAGGAACAATGATGATATGGCCTTGCTAGAGAACAAGTATGGACAATATGAGCTCTAGAGGGCCCTTCCATCCTCAACTGTTTTGTGACATCAGGTCAGCAGTGAATCCTGTAACAGGACTGAAAAAACCATATCCAAATTTGCCCCTCACCCTATCTGGCTCTGGAAGCCTTCAAGCACAATGCTAAATTTACCATGACAGAAAAATAATTACAGTTGGCATACTGAAAGCTTCCAGAAGGCTACAGGATAAATGTCCATTAACAGATTGCACAGCAGATCTGTCAGTCTTGAGGGGAAGCCTCCAGGAAGGCTTTCTTTTTTTCCTAATAACTTATAAATTATATTAATATCATTTTATAGAGTTGTATGCTACACAAGATCATTCTGACAAGCCCAACTACTGCAGAACAGACCCCCAGCACTATGCAAAGCTCCACCTACTCCTGGGTTTGAACTTAGTGAGCAGTCACTGAGCAAGATCACTGAATARGATGCAGTGTGAGCATACTTGTCAGGCTTTCTTATCTCCGTATGCCATGAACCAAATCTCAGAAAAGATCATTGTTTTTTCTCACTTGCTCTTTTATGGCTAATGTCATCCTGAGATTCAGTCTCAGGTAATCAACCAATTCCCTAAACAGGCCAACCCAGATGGACCTTAATGTCTGGCCAGCAAACATTCACTTTATGAGGCCAAGCTCTGTTTCCCTATGGGTCAAATTGGAATTTTTGAAGTCATGGGACATTTAGCACCAAACTTAATTAAATAAACAATTGCAAAACACACAGCCCAGTTTCAACATATACATTCTGTGATGACCATATGCTGGGGGAAATGGATCACTCTACTTCCTACTGAAGAGCTTCACTGTCAATGCTGAAATCCCCTCTAAAAATAAAACCATTTCCATAAAACCATTACTATTACACTTTTTTCCACCTGTTATCCCAAGGTTGGTATCTGTATAGGAGCCTTAAAAGACCTTCTCAACTAAATGTAAGCATTTCCTGTGCAAAGCTGATGCACTTTCAAGATGATGCACATTTCACAAGGGGACAGGACCAATTTAACACACTATTGACCATATTTTAGTATGTACCTCATTTACATTAGTTCAAGGCATCACATGGAACTGAAATGCAGCAGCAATGCAGACACTTCTAGGTCCACCAGAAAAAGCCTGAGAAACACTTCAGCCTTGAGGCTGGGCAGGCAAAGAAGGCTCTGAAGGTCACCCTTACCTTTCCCAGAAAATGTTTACGGTACAGCTTGGCTGTAGGGTCACTTTCCAGCTTCACTTTACCACTCCAGGAAAAGGGTACATCAGACAGAGTCGGACTCAGGCTGGAGAGGTTGTGGCTGGTCCCTTCAATCCAGTAGCCCCCAAACTGTGGTAGGATAATGAGAGGATATGGCCATCCCTTCTGTAATACCTACCCAGAAGGACAGAGAACATTAAAACTGACAGACCAGTAAACTGGAAGGCCAATAAGCTGAAAAACCAATGAAGTCCAAGGACAAACAGAAAGAGAAGAGAGCAGTACTAACTCACCTCATGGATGCTGGGGTAAGGAATATACTCCTCTTCTGTCTGAAATCAGAATAGACCATTAACAAAAGTGTGTGACATCTTTTATAGTGTTATGCTCTCATGATCGTGCAAGCTGTGCCCTCAGCTTCCATTCTGTCCTAGGTCATCTTTAGAGWTTTACTTTAGGGCTTAAGGTAAGACTCCATTTCCAAGGTCTCAGTGTTATAATGTAGAACTTTGAGAACAATATAGGAGTCAGATTTTACCCACCCTCCTCCTTGAAACTACACAAATACAAGCAGGCCAAATGAGGAGGTAGTCAAACTGTAGGCAAATTTGATGTGGTTAGGAGTGGCAGCCTCTTTCCTTCCCTTCCACAGAGTGTTACACAGCTGCTGTCCTTCTGCAGACAGGGATGACAGTAGGAATGGTAGAAAAAGTGCTGTTATTTACTGTGAGATTGAGGCTGTGTCATCTCCATGGCTCATCTGTAGTATGCATCTGAGCAATGCTGAGTTGTGACTCAGAGATCAGGAGCAGCATCTCAGCCAATTTATGCCAGTTGGATGCCCCCTTCATTATCACAAAGAGCACTATCTCTGTTAGAATGGAGCTATAACAATAGTGGCTATATGGTTTTTTTAATAGGTCATCCCAAGACTAAAGTCAAGGTCAATTTTTATTTTAAGGTTGGTGAGTCTGAGATGAGACTGAAGAAATGGAGACAAAGAGTTAAGGATTTAAAGATGGGAATCTGCTCTTATTGCCTTAATATTGGGCAAAACAGATCAACTTTCTAGTAGCATCTCTGTGAGTCATCCGACTACTGAAATAAACTGTATGYGGTTTCATAAATATTATTACAGCTCTTAAACTGAATAAACTTAAGAAATTACTTAGTCAAAATAAACACATGTAATAATAATAAACTCTTATTGGAACCACTTAAGTTAGAAAAAGGGAAGTGTTAATTCTATTTCAGCTACATAGATTCAGCCTTTTGTGCAGCAACTAGGAAGCAAAAGAAAACAAAAAAAGGTAAGCATATAAGTGTTCTTGGGATGTTTGCAGACTCCCTGTTCATTCCAGTGTGAAAGTACACTGCAAGCCAGGTCAGTAATTATCCGTCATTCTCAGCAATTTAGGAGGCAACAACGACTTGGCCTGACCTTGAGAGGAGCTGGAAGGGAACATCTTTGTTCATCCAGACGACTCCCCTGGAAACATAAAGTCACAGACAGTGAATCCTGTATTTTACAACGTCTGTTTCACTTACCCTCTGTGTCCTTCGCCATATCCTCAATATGGGTATTTTGTCCCTCTATGAAATCTTCCATTTTAAGCAAGTTTGGAAGATTGGAATAAAAAGGAGAAGTGAAGCGAGAATTTAGCCAGTCCCCTAATCCTGCATGAAAACTGAAAAGCTACCTTCATGCTTACACCTCATGAAAAGCAGACAACTGGGAGACATTAAAAGCTATCTCCCAAGCTGATTCTCTTATTTGATTCTCTAATCTCTTCTAGCTACCTTCCTTCCTAACCCAAGCAAAAAAAAAGAAAAAAAATTGAATTACTACAAGGTGGGTTGGAGTAACAGGGCAAAAGGCTACTGGATGCCTAGTTTCTTCCTGACTCAGGAGCTGGCGTCCAGACTTGATCATCCTTCTTAAGGCTATTGAATCCTCTGCCTTCTCACTGTGGCAGCAGTATGAGCAGCAGAAGCACACAAGAATAGGACAATGTTAGTGAGTACAGGCCAAACGCAAACTGAGCAGAGAGCCAGAAGAGAAGTCAAAAAGATATGAGGGCAAACAGGCCACAGTCCAAGCGGGTACCACAGACAGAAGTGTAAGAGGCAAAATTTGCATCATCATATAGGACCAGGATTTAGGATGTCCCTTTCTGCTACATACAGTACATGAGTATTCAACTACTGTCACCTAAATCTTGTAACTCTCAGACTGGAGCATGATGCTGAGATGCTACATTTTTATATACCATCAGTGACTGCTTAATGGAGTGGCTCATCAGGGATTCCAGACAGGATAAGCAGCTCTTGACTTTGTTGTGAAAATAAGCAGGATTTTATTTATAGCAGCCATGCCTGGGCACATATTCTACAGTRGAACTAGCTTATCAACTAGATTGTGGTAGAAATAGGTAAATCCCAGAGGAGCTCTACAGTGGAGACTTAGAAGGCTCAAGAACAAAAGTTTTGTACAGTTCCAGCTATACAGGGTGCAAAAACTGCTAGCACAGCACCACTAACACTGAGCAACAGCAACCTTACTATCGAGCATTCAGATTAATCAAAACGCTCTTTGCAGGAGCAACTAAAGAAAAAAAAAACAAAAAACAAAAACCAACACATCTACTTCAAAAACAAGGTTTTAGGAAAATGAGAAAGTTTATTAAAACTAAGAAGGAGCTATAAAAAAAATCTAAACCTTCATGAAATCATGAGGAGCCAGTCTTTGAGTACACAACTAATGGTTAACACCTTTAAAAAACTCTTAGAAACATCAGAATTAAATCAGTAGGACTGAACTCCAGAGTGATGAGTAGTAAATGCATGAGGTCATTCTTCAGAATTCTGATGTTGAGTTCAATCACATAAAGTAGCAGTAACAACAAAKTTTAGTTGGCTAAATACAGAAACACAGTAAAGTAAGTGAAGAACAATGAGCAGCTAACAGAAAACCAAATTATTTTCCTTAGCTATACTAGGCAAAAGAAGCTTCACATATTATCTAMAGGGTGACACAAGAAAAAACTACAAAAGCTGAGCTTCGAGACAGTTACACACCTTTCCCAAAAAAATTTTTCCTTTTGTATTTTCAACAGTGGAGACTAAACGAATACCAGCTTGGAAATATTATTCATAGGAAAACTTTAGAAGACCTGTTTTGTATTGTGATGTCAGTACACAGCACGGACAAAATGAACAACCAACTATCAGGATGTAGTGAAATTAAGATGGAACATAAGTTGACAACTGATCTTCATATTTTGCAGAGGTAGTTAGTAATATTTTGTATTTGGGAAAGTTGTAAASGTGCAAAAGTTGAGTACATGAAATGTAAGGGTTAAAGAGTGTTTTGTTGATGCGATCTGAGTTTCAGTTGTCAGCCTACTGCACTGAGGCTCAGGAGGAAGACAGGGATTTGGGAAACAGACAGAAAGTCCGGCCACTAACAGAAAGTCCTGTGCATTGTCAGAACAGGACTGAGACAGGAGGGACATGTACATACAAAGCAGCCACAGTCTTTTGCAACAAACCRCGGGAAGTACTGGGACACACTTACTGTGCACAGTGAGCTTTCTGCACCTGGAAATGGAGGTTGGGAAACTGCAATTTTCTAGTATTTCTCTCCCCTTCCTTGGCCTTTTGGCAGATCTGATAACTGCAAACATTTTCTAGTTTCAAAGGAGGTCCTGGTAGGAGASTAGTATCTCAGCAGCCCTGAGGGGAACTTTCTGGGCTGCTGTAAAGGAGCTCTCTATTGGAGCCACTACAGAGAGTRAAGGAATGTACCAGCACATTCCATGACTCTGCATTGTTAAGAAAGCTCCTGGTAGCCTGGAAKCAGAAGACGTAAGTTTAAATCTATCAACCTCTCCTCTAGAGTGAAGCTTAAGATAAGAATAATGCAGCCCTGGGCTGTACAGTCCTAAGCTTTATTTTAAAGGATAACCAGAACTGCAGGCAACTTACAGCATAAGTTGTTGGATGTGTCAAATCATGGGCATAACTGGCTGATTCACTGTCATTCCTCAAAAGGGAGAGGAATAAACTGCAGCAGTGTCAGCCACCCCTTGAGACATCCTTCTGGTTTGATCCAGTTTGGCTTGCAGCACTGCCTCTAAAGAAAGGCTTTCCCTCACTGTGTCCCTGGGCAGCTTACTGGAGACAGCATCAGTCTGGGAAGCTCATATTCACAAGGTCTGGTACAGGGGAAACACTTGGACTGAGCAGGATGAAAGAATGAGTGACAAAGTGTCCAGATCCAGAGTCAGGGTCCAACATTGCATAACAATGCTATGATGATACACATTTTTAATGGGGAAAGAGTAAACTAGTTTAAAACACACAACTTGGATACAAAAGGGGATACAGGGAAAAAAAAACCCGTGAAGGTAGTTTGAGAAAATAAGACTAAAGAATATGCAGAAACTGTAGGAATGCAGAACAGAAAAGCAGTCTAGTGAAAAGGGACTGGCTATGCAAACATATGAAGACCTCAAACACTTGAGTTTATTGGATGAAATAAAATTTCCTTGTTTTTCAACTGCTTCTACAGCAAAGCAATCAAAGAACAACATATTACTGAGCATCCTTAACAGTATTTATCATGACTTCACTAGATCTCTAAACACAGATCAAAATAGGCTGGTAAACTATTTATTTCCAAAAAATGATTAATAAAATTGAAGAG